CCAATTACATTTTTCTTTTATAGCCCGGTATCTGCTTGGCACCAGTTACATTTTTCTTTTATAGCCCGATATCTGCTTGGCACCAGTTACATTTTTCTTTTAAAGCCCGATATCTGCTTGGAACCAGTTATATTTTTCTTTTTAAGCCCAGTATCTGCCTGTCACTAGTTATATTTTTTTTTTTAAATCCCAGTATCTGCCTGGCACCAGTTATATTTTTCTTTTTTAATCCCAGTATCTGCCTGGCACCAGTTACATTTTTCTTTTTAAGCCCAGTATCTGCCTGACACTAGTTATATTTTTCTTTTTAAAGCCTAGTATCTGCCTGGCACCAGTTACATTTTTCTTTTAAAGCCCAGTATCTGCCTGGCACCAATTATATTTTTTTTTAAAGTCTAGTATCTGCCTGACACCAGTTATATTTTTCTTTTAAAGCCCAGTATCTGCCTGGCACCAGTTATATTTTTCTTTTAAAGCCCAGTATCTGTCTGGCACAAATTACATTTTTCTTTTGTATAAGTCCAGTACTTACCTGGCACGAGTTACAATTTCTTTTGTATAAAGCCCAGTATTTTCCTGGCGCGACCCATCGACCAATTCAGCATAAACATTTGGTCGATCCAACATCAGCATTCAATCAATCCAGCACCAGCATTTGATTGAATTGGCACCAACAATCGGTCGATACAGCACAAGCATTCGACCACTCCAGCATTAGCATTCAGTTCATCAACATTCAATCAATCTAGCACTAGCATTTGATTAAATTGGCACCAACATTCAGTCGATCCAGCACAAGCATTCGACCACTCTATCAAGCACAAATATTCGGTTTATCAAGTACAAGCATTCAACCACTTCAGCATTGGAATTTGGTTGATTAAGCACAAGCATTCACCTATTTCAGCATAAGCATTCGGTCGATCCAGCACAAGCACTCGACCACTCCATCAAACATTGGCATTCGGTTGATCAAGCACAAGCATTCAACCCTTCCAGCACAAGCATTCAACATTAACATTTGGTTGATCCAGCACTAACACTTGATGATCCCAACACAACATTCTAGCATTGGACTGTTCAAGAAAAAGCATTGAATCTTTCAAGAACTTACTTCATCAACAATAGGAGCTATGTCTTGGGTAGCTAGATAAAATTAATTCACATCTTTATTTATTTCTTATCACAAATGATCTAAATTACCTTATTTAGATTATTTAATAAGAAATAAATAAAGAGGGGCAACTGTGAATAATCAATTTTATCCGGACTCACAAAATTAATGAAATGGACATCTACTATGAAGAGGAGGATCTCTCAAAGTATGGAGGTGACAACAAGGAAGTTTGAAGCAAAAAAAAAATGTTAAGTGGCCTAGAACGGGCCGTTCCAAATTCGGAACGGGCCGTTCCTAGTTACAAAAAAGCACAGCAACCCTAATTAAGAACGGGCCGTTCCGAATCAATTAAAAGGCCTAAATTTCCTTATCTGGAACGGGCCGTTCCGAATTTCAGAACGGGCCGTTGCTCTTTTAGAACGGGCCGTTTTGAATTTAGAACGGGCCGTTCTGAATTTAGAACTGGTCGTTCCAGATTCACATTTAACACATAACGTCCATTTTCAGAACGGGCAGTTCTGATTTTGGAACGGGCCGTTCTATTCAGGTTTGACATCTATAAATAGACGTCTGGGGCACAATTTTCAGGACCAGAAAATTTCGTCTCAGACTCCTTAGAGCCCGAAATTTCTCTTTCTCTCTCTTCTGGTTTTCTTGAGATTTTGTGAAGAATATTATAGTGTGTTAGGTCGCCAAAAAGTGCCTAATAGATCGTTATATTCGAAGATTCAACAAGTTCAAGCATCTCATTTGGTATCATTTCTTTTCTTTTTATTTATTTATTTATTCTTTTATTTATTTATTTATTTTTATTATTTAATAATTGCTTGTATATAGTGAATATGATTTGTTGTCTTTAAAATAATTGTTTAAAAAATATTTTATTATACAAAAAATAATAATATTAATTGAATAACATTTTTATCTCTAGCATTATTTGGTTCTAGGGGTTTAATGACTAGTCATTTGCTAGCTTAAACTCTCTTGTACAAAATTTCTTTTTTTAAAAAATAAAGATATGTTGCAACCAATAACGTTAATTAAATAGCACTTCTATTTTTAACGTTATTGGAAGGACTTATTGATTAGCCATTTGCTAACATGAATTCCTATGCAAAATCTATTTCTTTAGATAAAAATATTCATGTATACTTATTTTTATGGTTAATGATATTAATTGAGTAGCACTTCTACCCTTTAATATCATGTAAATCATAAAAGTTAATAGAATAATTATTCATTGTCCTAAGCTTAAAGCATAATTTAGTATCAACAAATAAAAATCAATAACATTGATTGAATAACAATTCTATTTTTCATGTTATTGGAAGGGTTTATTGATTAGCCATTTGCTTCCCCAAATCCCTATAATTTTCTAATAAAAATACAGAAAAGGTTTTCTGAGGAGTAAATTAAATATTTATAAATTTATATAATTTTGTGCAATTAATTAAAGGTACTGTTTTTACAGGCGTTGTAGGGTGTTAATACCTTCCCTATACGTAATCGACTCCCGAACCCAACTTTAATTTTAAAGATTATCTTTTAAAGGGTTTTCCAATATTTTTTCCTTAAAATAAAATATTGGTGGCGACTCCATTGAATATAAAAATGTTAGCGTCATCTCGTCGTGATCCCGGTTGTGACATTCATTGAGATGTTGTTGTAAATGTAGGCATGCAAGGTTGAACCATATTAAATAATTTTATATGATCTTTCCCCATTTCTTCATGGTGTTCTTTTTGTATTCTCCCATCATTATGCGTAAAGATGAGTTATTGTTCTCAACAATTAATATTAGAGTTTGTTAAGTCAAAAAATGATATTGAATCCCTCAAATTATAAAGTTTTAATAATAATAAATATAGACTTTTTTTAGAAGAAAAGCTTTTAATCAATAATTAAGGTGAATGTTGTGTAAGACGAATATAATAAGGTGACCAAATTTTTTGACATAAGTATCCATCAAATGAAACACTTTATTTGAAAGATATTTACTATAAATTAATATCATTTATGATGCTTGATAAATAAATTAATCGTTGTGTATATTATTCCTTAATAAATGCAAAGAAAAAGTACTTACTTGATACTCACAATGACAAAAGTGAAGGAAAACATGTTTTTTATCATTAAAAAAAAACAAGTAGATATCTTGATTCCAGGAGATCATCATAAAAAGATATTGAATTAACACATGCATGGCTCCACTTATTTAGATAAGATTTGATAATTTGGTGAAATGTATTTAATACAAGTAATTAGTGCATCAATAGATACTTTTCTTCACAAGAAAAGGAAAACTAAAGACTGACAAAGAAAGTTTATGATGACGCTCAAAGATTTGTAATAATTATCTTTATTGAGACATCTATCTAAGGAAGTTTGAAATCCAAAAAGATAAAGAGAAAACATATATTGTAAAAATCATACTCATTTTTTTTTTGTAAAAAACACAATACTTAATTGGTTATATCATAACTTGAAAGTAAGATGAAACAACATTGTTAGTTCATCCAACTTTAACTTTGTGTTATTACTTTGAATATGGAGATGTTAGTTTATTAAAGAATACTTGTGTATTGTTGAGCCTGAAGATGCTCATCTGTAAAAGAATGTTTCGGTGTTTGAAGCTTAGAGAGGTTTTGTATCAAAGAATACTTGAATAGTTGCTTGAAGAGGTAAGTCGAAGAATAGTTAAGTTGAAAAACAAATGGCTTATAAATTAATACTTGTATCTTTGTAAAGATAGTGAAATTTGATACTTCGTTTCATTAATTAATTCAAATCAACGTATAAGATGATTTTATGATTATTCGTCAATTTGAATTAATGAAATGAACTATCAAATGATTTTCAATCTATTTAAAAATTCATATATATTTGATTTATGTATGAAGAACTCTAAATTTAATAGTTGAATCCTTAAAATTTGATGTAGAATATGAATTATTGAACGGGATAACATATTTGGAAAATGCTTTCTCTCTGTTTTTTTTCCTAGTCCAATCTCACAAATCGAAATAATTTGTGCATCTTTTGCAGCCTCATCTATGATGACTACTATTAAAGCACTATTTTTTTAATCTTTACAAAATTTAAAGCCTCTATCACTTCAACACAAAACAAATAATGTTACATAAAAAAATTAATGATAAGAACTAAAAGAATTCAAAATTGTAAGTATGAAAATTAAAAATATTTATCTTAAATTATAGAGATTAAAAAAGGATGAAAAAGATAAATATAGATACTATAAAAGATTGAAAAGCATACTTATAAAGACTAAAAAAATTATTTTAAATTATAAAAACTAAAAGATAAAATAATTGAAAGTTTAGAATTTAAAAAATATTTTAACCTTAAAAACATAATGAAATGAAACATATTGTTAATTATAGATCTATCTATTGATCTTCGTTGAATGAAACCAGGTATCTTGAAAATTGTTTGATATTGGTTCACCCCATTCTTATTCTTTGGTTATTTCTTTAACTGCTTTAGACATTTATCTCTTTTTATTCGAGATAAAATCACTATCTTCAAACGCTTAGTCCTGTGAATACGATCTTGAATTGCCAAGGTTTTTCCTCCTTTTTTTATTTTTTTTTTCTTTGCCTTATGTTACCAAAAAAAAAAAAAAACGATATTGAATTATTAAAATTGACGAAACGACTGGCATTTTCTATTTAATTATCAACAATCTAAGAGGGGAAGGCATGGGGAAGTCCAAATAATAGAAAATATCAAATAGTGTAGTGATAGAATAATAATATATATCAAGAGTCATGATCAATCAGAAATTTACCAAATTTTGACTGACTAATAAATGAATGATAATATTTACTATAAATTTTTTTAATGTTATTAATTTTCTCTCGGATAGTTATAGGGTGTTATCCCTATCTACCATATTATGCATAAAAAATTAATAATGTCATATCTACTGGTGGTAGAAACTCCTTAAAACATTGTTTGATGCAACCTTAATAAGTAAAGTTGCGTGTGGCCTTGGCTGGTGGGAATTGATTCTCACTAATCTCACCTCGAGTCGACTCAGAGACATACCTCTTTCCATCACATTCTTCTTGAAGATCTAAACGCATATGATACAACATACAAGACAGTGAAAAATAAACAAATTAATAAGAGCTACGAATAAGTATCCAATCAATAAACATTCAAAGCCTGCTATACTACTACTCTCAAGTTAGTGCAAGTACGTCACGACTAGAAATTTGCATAACATTCCCTTAATCCTCAACATTTACTAATATAAATAAACAATTTACGATTCAATCCAATACAGGCACATCAAATCTGTTTAGGCCAAAATGTATAAATTTGCATCGGTTCCCACTCTCGACATCATCATCATATACAGAGGAGCATGAGACAGGAACCACTAAAGGGGTCTAACCGAAGCTAAACATAGTATTTTCTCTTCAAAATTGAAATTTCAGCCATTATTATCATATTGAAAGTTTGTGTGAAGGATTGAACTCACTCATTTCAGAACCCGATATTTTTTTATTGACAAAAGCTAATTATTAGTAATGTTACTAGAGGTTCGAATCTACACTTCCTTATCACTTCAACCTTATCTCTCTTCCCCCAAATTTTCAGACCTTCTTATAACTCTTATTTCAGAAGAAGATTAATTGCAAGCTACTCTCAATTCAAGCCTAAATTACCCTGATTTGAAAACCAAGGGAGGCTATAGATTGAGTTACATGTGGTATTTTCTCCTCAATTTTTTCCCCCGGCGACTTCTACTTATAATCACACAAAACTTTGGAAAAAGGTGTACAACCTCATTATTGAATCTCTTCAAATAACACTATTTTATTTACTATTTTAATTTTTTTTGTTTCTAATTTTAATTCTTACTCACCATAATCCCACATTTTCTTTATTATTTATTCCAGATTTTTATAAAAGAAGTAAGATATACGAGTTTTCTATGCATTTTAACTCTACTCACCATTGTCCTCAACACATTAACGAGTAAGATAAAAAAAAAAAAATTAGAACCAAATATGTTATGAGACATCTAGTAAGAGGGATAAATGTAATAAAAGTATAGGTATAATACCTGACATGACGTGATAGCAAGACAAAGATTAAAAGAAATAATAATTGTTAGTTAGGTGTTTTGAAAAATGAAAATTTCAAAAATCGTTGTCCATTTCCATATTTTGAAACCTAGGAGGCTATCGATTGAATTTAGGGTTCAAAAATGATTTTTGGACACTCTATATGCTACTCAAGACTTGGAAAGAAAGAAAATAAAATGGAGAAAAATATAGATATACTAGGTAATATAATGTGATAGTGTTATGACATTAAGTGTATTGAAAATGTTAGAATATCATTACATTTCAAGTACTATCTATTTTGATATTTATTGAACCGTTATAATTTTTTCTTAAAAACAAATGTTTCGAAAGAATAAAAAAAATGATATATAAACTATCCTAAATTTTAAACTTTAAGCAATGTAGGTCTTTATGATATATTGGAACAAACAAATAATACTTTAAATGAAGTGACCTAACAATAAATTTAAAGTCAAAATATTTGTAATAGAATGAGGATTTAGGATATTATTGTCCCTTAATTATACTTGATTGAAATGCTTGTTTTGATCTGATTCATATATATATATATATAAAACCGCGCACTTTGACTATTTCTTAAGATGAGAGAATCTTGTAGTGAGGTGCTACAAGTAGGTACTTCTTGGGGTTTAAGAAGTGATTTCTATAATAGTGTAGAAGTGTATTGCATGCAGTATTATAATTGTAAAACTTCAAACATTAAAGATTAGTGAAAAATATCAATCGGGTTGATTGAGGACTGGACACAAGCAAGTGAATGTGGTTGAATTAGTATAAAACTGGTTGTGCATTCTTATCTCTTCCTACACTTGAAATCATATTCTTGCATTTTTATATTCATGCTTATTGATATGTGTTGTTTGACATGTTCATTGCATTAAGAATTGAGTGAATTTAAACTTGCATTAAAATTCAACTAAGTATCCTATCTAAAGGTTATAAGTCAGCACACTTTTTTGGAAAAATTTATAAAATTTTTAGAAATTCCAGGATAACTACGCAAGAAAATTTGAAAAACCAATTAACCGCCCCATTTGTTAGGACATCTTTTCTAATAGATGTATCTTTAATATTACAAGAAATTTTGTTTGTAACTTGGTCTTAATTAGTTAAAACAATTAGTCTCTTCTTTTGATTACTATTTGTGATGTGGTTAGTAAATCCTATAACTTGTTTATTGAATGGGGAAAACACATGTTGAGGAGTGTTATCAGTGAGATTTATGTGACCTATAGACATGCATCTCTTACAGTTAGCCTTGTTTGTGTTGGTAGATCACTTAGTGATGCTTGGTTGGTTTGTATATGGGTTTTTGGTACCCCTTGTACCAATCTAATGTTATTATTATTATCTTTGTTGTCCAAAAAAATATTTTTTTATCTTAATATCATTCTTTCTAATTATTTCCAAAATTAAAGTCCCACATCAAGTAAAAAACATGTCATATAAAGAGTATACTTCTCTCATATCTAATTGTTTCTCATAATTAAAGTTTCAGTCAAGTAAATGAATGACGCATAAATAGTATATATAATTATAGAGTTGTACTTAAGATAAATGAACTTTGATATTTAATATATAATTAGTGGCGATTAATTAAAAATATCTTCAACCTTTTCTTAAAAAACTTATAAGAGTTTAGAAGATCAACATAAAGTATAATGTTTGATAGCAACATCTATATTAAAACTAATTATTATTTTATAGTTAATAAAAACTTAACATTATTAAAATGTTACAAAAATATCACTTTGATAATATTTGAAAAATATTTCCTGATTGTGTAAAAATATTATTAAAAATCTTTAGCAACATGAACTATATATCAATAATATATGGCAAAATCAAATTAACATTAATACACAATTATTTTTAACATTTTTAAATGTTGTCAAAAGTTCTTTTATTATCATTTTAATTTTTTCAATTTATAATATTTTTTTAATAATACTTGATTAAATATTATATAAAGACTAACTAAAGATCATAGGATCCAAAATCACCTAATCATTTTTCTTACACGACATGTATTTCAAGTGCTATTAAAGTTTTCTCATGAATTAAAAAACTTAAAACAAGTTATATAGTTATTGGTTGACATTATGGACACTTATAATTTTAAACTACTTCAAAAACATTCGACATTCAAGGAATCTACTACATAAAAAAAATTATATTGCATCTATCTACCAACTCAAGCTGGGAAGTAGGGATTTTTTTTTTTTGCGTGAATGACTATTCCAGTAGCTCTAAGTAGGGATGGTAAATATATCTATACCCGCGGGTAATATCCGAACCCGTCCCAACTTTGACGGGAGAATATCCGGTTTGACCTAGTACGGGTACAGGTACGGGTAAAACCCGATATATTAAATCGGGAACGAGTACGGGTATGTACTTACCCGCCCCGTACCCGTCCCTGTTTCCATTTTTAATTTAATACCCATTTTTAATTTAATTATATTAAAGAATTTTAATATTTTTTTATGTGTGATTATTTATTATAATATGAGATAGAGAAATAAACTAATTATAATTATAATATAATAAAAAAATAATTAAAAAATATCATATTTTTTTATATAAAAAAAAAAATTAGCAGGTACGGGTACGGGTATACATGATACCCGACGGGGATGGGGATAGGGATGGAAATCATATACCCGACTGGTATGGGTACGGGGACAAGGATGGGTTTGACTCGCGGGAACGAGGACGAGTATCATGAAACCCGTACCTGCCCCGCCCCGTTGCCATCCCTAGCTCTAAGCCTTGTAGCACACCACATGAGTTCTTTCTTGGCTCCTATTCTCTCGTGCCGACCATGTTCAATGGTGGACAGATACATTAGTAAAGTTTATTATTAACGATAATTATTTATTAGAAAAGCATAAGTCCTACATTGATTAGAGATAAGATAATTAAAGAGTATGTAAATGAGTGATTACTATCACCTTATAAGTTGATTTTGTAAGATTAAGTTAGACTTCTAATTCACTATTATAAATTGGTATCAAATCACTCACTATTATCAAGTTCAATAGTATTATAAAACAATTAGAAAGCAACTTTCACCTTGTAAGTCTCACATCTCTTAAGACACAAGATAATTAAAAAATAAATTAAAAATATATAAATAGAAGACAATCCTCATCTTACAAGTCACACATCGACTGACAACAAAAAAGTATATAAGTTATGAATTTAGAAAAGGAAATAATAGGAATAAATTATTTAAGGTTTTACTAACAATAGATAAAATTCATTAAATGGATGGAAGTAAGATAGTTAAAAAAAAATAACTTTTAATGGCCTTTAAAATTGTTACTAAAATTGCAACAAAAAAATAAGTTTACTTGACAATTTAGTAGATTTTTACTAAAATTCTATATAAATATCACTAATAATATTAGCGACCTTGGCTAGTGGTAAAAAAAATAATGATTATTTATATGGTCGCTAAAAAACAAAATAATGACTACAAAAGACTAATTTTTGTGTATTGCCAAAAGCTTCCCACATAAGTTTCACAGCGTGGTGATCGTTGTGGATATCAGTGCCACAAGGATGAGGAAACACCTTCCTACACAACGACTTGAGAACCACGAAAGGTATTTGATTCTCAAGCATTGTGATGTCGTTGATCACAACTAACACAATCATTTTGTTTTCAAATATTGGATTACCCGAATAACTGGTACTCCTTAATGAGTTCTCGGAAAGTTCAATCATGTAAGAGGCGAAGCCTAAAGAGAAACTCCACCACAAAGCAACCATCCACTATCATTATTTAGTCAATTCATGGGGTTCTAATTTGGTGCTACCTCCATATATAGCTTGTTCTGACTACATTATCCATCTTCAGAATTTGGTCACCTGTTTGTAGTGGAATTCATTTATGAGTCCTTTTTACTCAAACTAGCATAAAATTGTTTCAATTTAGGTATTTCAAAGTGTTCGTGTTATTAAGAATGGA